AACCATCCGTTCACAAATCTGTTAGTTGCTTGTCAATGAGCCTTCCCCTTCATTAAATTGCTCAAGCACAATGAATGTCGATTATCTGCGCAGCCCAAGACGTAGGTACCCGCTGGACGAAAATAATAATGGAAAGATCTCAGTTCACATTATTGATTCTGATCATACAGAAACCCCGCCTCCCGACCATCATACTAAACAGGATTGGAAATTTGTTATTACTCAAGACACTACAATATTTGGCGAGGTACAATCATGACAAATACTGCGGTGCAGCTCCATTGGTTTTAACCTGACCAATGTCTTCTTGCAAGCACATCGGACTCTCCAACCATATTTCACTTTTACAACTCCCCAGTGTGCCCCGGTTTGCGTGCCGAATCACGTTTTTTTTTAATTTCAACAAAAGTTATTCATTAAGGTGGAGAAAAAAGGCTCCAGGTGGAAAAAAAACGAAATCAACACTTATTGTGTGCATTATTTAAGGAAAGACTGTCAAGGGAGGCTCTTGAAATGATAGCGCCAAGTAAATTCCAGAAACATAAAAGTGACGGATCAATACCGCAGAATGAGGTGAAGTATAGGAAAATGCATACCCTATGGAAAAGACGATCACTCGAGAAACGGCTCCGCTTTCCTGTTCTATCCAAAACGAGCTTCAGGATTTTGATAAGACATGGGGTCTTTAATATATTTCGAACAGAGGCGAAGAATGGCTCAAATTCGATGGGAACAGGCGGTGGACACGCTTGTAACTTCCTGAAATGGAACAATTATTTTTAATTTTTCATTTCTTGGAAAGTAAGCAATGTTCAAACTGTGTGGATCACTGTATCTCACCGATCGAGTTTCGAGCGGATTTTCTGCTGATATTGTTCGGCCTGTGACAAGTCGCTCTTCGAGTAGTGGTAGAAAAACGGGTTGTATTCGGTGAGTAAAGAATCTTTCAAATGAAACTGTCCAGCAGACGTTGTTGTTGGCTTTCTGGAAGTAAAGTATTGACATAAAAGCAATATAAGGAGACTTCGAGAAAGAATCTTAATAACAGCTGTAGCTTTATTCATCTTATTTTTTGCTCTCGCTTCTTGAAACTTGTTGATCCTACCCACCCCCTCCTTGCTCCTCGCTTCTTGAAACTTGTTGATCCTACACCCCCCCCCCCCTTGCTCAAAAATCGTTTCTTTAACTCACACGAAGTTGGCGACACTGTTAACGACTTCATGCAGAGATATGCGCTCCACCATAGGATCGTGAGACATCCGCTTTTGAATCTACAACAACGAAATGAACTCCTATTGCTAAGAGTATCAAATCAGAAACACTCACGTGGCTGAAGGGTTGTGGTCCTGTACAGAGCACATGGATTACTTCACGTTGCACTTGTTCCGTGAACGTGCATTTTCCCACACCAGGATGGTATCGTTCACCTATATTTTAATCGATGAATTTTTCAAGAATGCAACTAAAATAATTCGGCAAAATAAGGCTAACCAAGTATCATAATAAGTAAATGCAGCATTTCCTCCGCCAATATGACTATGATTTTTCCAGTTTCTTCAGGCTCCATTTTTCCAAATGGAGTGGAATGCTTTGACCCTCCATCACCAGATTGATCAGCCCACTGCACTAATCGGAATCGGCATATGATGTGCAGCAGAAAATCCGTTGGTGGACGTATCGCAGCTCCAACCTGATAAACGAAGTTCAAAACTTGTACAGTTGTTTCATTATAGTCCGTTCATAATCTCAAACAATCTTTCATTACAGTCGGGAGGTTGCAACTTTTCACGATTGCAATCAAGACTGACAATGCTCGTTAAACAACAACGTCAACACCTCCCAACTTTTCTTTAGCTTTCACTTTTTTTTGCACATTTTCCCCGTTCTACATAAGGCTACTATAGGCGGGGATGATAGTAATAAGCACCTCTTCTCGAGCTCACGGACAAATTCTGGGATCAAAGTTCGCCAGGCTAACCAAACCATCAATCCATGTGGAGTCCGTCTGTTCGCGAAATGAAGGCCGATAGAATAAACCAACCACCATCGAACGGCTAGCTCGAAGTCTTGCGAGGTCTATGCTTCGTGATGTTGATGTCATGACTGTATACACCCTTCTTCCTTACCTTCACTATATTAGGTTGGAAAGAAAGTTCTGCAACACTCTTTCCAAAATTTTCTTTTTTTCTGAAAAATTCATAGGTAACATTTATGACTACCAAATGATAGAGCATTCTCAAGGCTTCAATCCACGAGGTGGATATAAGTTCTGCAGTGAGTAGGTATCCAAGAAAATTCAAAAAATCTCGACCACTAGCAAATCCGTACTCCGAGTCACTGTCTAGTACAAATGTCTACAAAACCATGGATTCGTGTCAACGACTGACACTATCTGCAATAGCTTCTAATGGCATGCCGTTCAGCGCTACAGCGTGTTTCACCTTTACCAGCGCTTTCCGATCTTTTGATATTTTTATAAGAAGCCAGCAGCGTCCCTCACACTCCATTACAGGTAGGGCTCTTACAGAAGCTCCACTACATACCCTTCGTTATGGGCACCATTGTGTAGGCAGTGGCCTAGGTTGTGGAGTACCAGAAGCTGGCCGAGGTAGCTCGTCAAGAGCCCTCGTACCGCGACAATATTCATTTCTTTCATGACATTGCGAATCACCATGATCCGAAATGAGCCCGGTAAGAAATTCTGGAGTTGCGGCAAGATTTCTTTCCTCTCTTAGCGTAATCCCCTGGTCGAGCTGTAAATAAGTGCTACCTATCCTGGACCTTTAATCATCATCTTGATAACGAAATAATCAGACGATCAACTCCAACTCGAAAGTGAGGTCGCCTCCTTTCTCGACTCGCACTCCGCTGGGTTTTGGCAAAGGAGCATCAAGAAATTTTCTGAGCGATGGAGACAAGTGGTGGACACTCATGGTAGATATAAGACCGGTCAGAAGTTGTAACCAAAAAAGATAAAATTAAAATCAAAAATTTGAAAAAGTGTTGCAGGACTTTCTTTCCAACCTAATACGTATGAACACAAGGCGAGCACACTCTCGGTCATTTTACATGGACACTTCAGTGGCAGCTGGAGGGCAGGGGAGGGAAATTAAGACAGGGAAATAAAGTGATAAGAAAACTAAGGCCCGAAGGAGTGCTGAGGTACCATTCTGACGCGACCATATTTATAATAAAGACCTTCGCTATACGGGACACCCTTTTGTGCTTACACACCTTCTCGTTGTGATGACTTTGCCAGAGAAGAAGGGCCCAGCGGAGGCGTTGGGCATTCGCAGGGGAAAGTGAGATCTCTGCCGTTGCTGGGAGACAAAACTGGTATGAGCTCATAAAACACAGAGAATTGGGGTATGATGGCTCGCAAGTCAACGACGCACGAAACAGCAGGTAGCTACTGAACTCGGAATCGGCATCCTCGATAAGGCACTCTCAATTAGTTTAATCACCTTCAAGGTTCGAAGTGGATCTACTGCTGCGCGGACGTTACACATTAGAGAGCAAAATTATTAGTAAGAACGATATGACTGTCTCTAGCTGAAGTTAACAAAATATATACGAACCTGCATCATCAGCAAGTCGCGGTCAAACATTTCCGTGCGGCAGAGCGGTGAGTAGATAATTGTGAATTTGATTCACCAATGAGAATCCATTACGGACGCCATAACTGAGCAGATGCTTGAGCGCACAAAACAAGAGCCCTGAAGAATGGTGTTTGATTTGAGCAGAATGTCATCAAGAATTTCCTACCTGAGCGGCATCTCATACAGAATGGTAGCCATCTTTCTCATCTGTTGACGAATATATCTCTCATCATCTGAGAAATCACTGGAGTCAGGAAGCAATAGGAAATGCAGCAGATCGCTATTAACTGTGAACAATCCTGCTGTTAGACCACAACGGCTGATGGAATAGATACAGCACCACGCAGAACGTCAAATGGACTTATAACTGTTGATTCTCCGTTGACTGAAAGCGTGAACAAGTGAATTTGAGCATTCGTTTGTGATGCTGACAAAAAGCTAGAATAAATATACCATCAACGACAGTGTGAGTAGCCCCTGCCGGCTCTTCCAAGCATGAAGGAGGGTGAAGCAGAAGTGCATCAAGGCAAAGACGTAAGAATGCACGATGGGTTGCACGCTAGAACAGCAATGATTTGCAAGTCCATAAAAACGTCAGATGTGACCAAATGGAGCGACCTTCCGATGAATACGAAAGATATCACACTTACGTCAGATCCCGCCCAAGCGATAACGTAGCCCAGACTATCCTGTATGCGAAGTTGAATGTTGAATGCTGTTTCCCATTCCAATTCCCAAACTTGATGTTCTACAGAGAGTCGTTTCACTTCATCCATCCCCTGCAATCAACAAACTATAAAACCAAACCAAGAAAAGTGACAAGAAAGCTGCTAGGGCACACGTCTTAAGTGCAAAACAAATGCAAACTCGATATTGAGTAACAGTGGAGCGATTCTAAGGATCTTTAGACAGTGTCGATAGTGGCTTCTGAAGAGGAATGGCTCTAAGTGGAAATATTGAGTACATCAATTCACCAGTAAATTCTTATGACGCATGCACCTTTCCAAGTGGAATTTGAGAGACGCTTCAAAGCTCCTTAAGAGGGGAACGTTATGAGCATATATAAGTTCACTTGCGAGGGGTGAGCGAGGTGATGGGGGGGGGGGGGCATCTGAGAACGTTCAGCATGAAAACGCCACGATGGCTGCCCACCTCCTACGAAAGAAAAAAATGTATGGCCCGCATGAAAAGAAATCACTCCTTTCTTGTCCCCTCTCCCCTCCCGAGCTTTTTGAAAAGCTGCGATGGTAACCCTATGTGAAACCCATAACTGTATGTAATGCACGTGACCAATTCGAAATTTTTTCCAAAGAGCCAATGAACAAAGAAGAAACCAAAAATAAAACATAAAAGCACCTGCATACGATGCAAAAATTGTATCAGAGATTGACATCCTTCTATAAAGCGTTCTCTTAATTGATCGTTCCAATCTGCTTTCGAAGGAACGCAAGTTAGAATATACCTAAAGTGCCAGTTAGATATTTATTACAGTGAAACAGAAGTGGGTAAGAAGTAAGAGCAGATTTTTCAAGCTCTCAAAAAGAAATGACATTTGAGTTCTGTTGAGAACAACTCACGCTAGATCACGCATCATATGAATCCCTCTTCTCACAGTGACCGGGAAGGAGTGTTTAGCAAAGTCAAAACGAGACAAATCGTTAGGGGCTTCTGAACATCAAAAAGATTTAGAAACAACGAAGCTATATCCACAAAAAATTTAAGAGAAACCTTTGGTGAATTTATCGGTGTGTTTCATGAGCGTTGTAAACACTGTCCGCATAGCACCATCTTCAGCAATCAAACGTCTAGATCAACAGTAATAACAAAAGAGGAAGCCGAAATGAAAAATCTCTATTTACCTTGCTATGCTGGGGACCGTCAAAAATTGCACGGTTAGGCTAACTACAGAAATATCGATGTCATGATCGTCATCAATAAACTCAGCGTAAATGTCATCGTAGTGCTGAAGAATAAGATCTATAATATAAAAAAACCTCCACGGAACTGAACGACTTACCTCGAGGAACGTTTTTGAGAAGAATACCTTCTGTTCAAAATTCATGAGTACGGTCTTCATCAACATCTGGTGAGTGTTAGCGCGTGCAGCTACAATATCACCCTTTTAAAATGATCGATAGCAGACTTATAATACCTATTCTCGTGAAAGTAGCTTGGTAATGACATATATAATGATACAATGACATAAATGCGTTTGATTGACGCATGTATGTCACCGAAACTGCCAAAATGTCCCTTACCAAAGTAAGCCTAAGACCATGTGCAATTTCATAAAGAGGAGAGTAAAGATCACAAACATTTCCACATCTTTTTGTCAAACCGCAAGAGTCGAACGAGTATCGTTTCCTGGGCCTCGAGTTCATCATCGTCCTTTTCGACCATAGTATTCAACAAAATATCCCCCACTATAGTGCCGAGAATTGCTGAAAAAAAATTTCCATTTTCCACTTAGAAGTCTGAAGTGCTTGAAACATTCGACAAACAGCTGCCTTCAGCTTAATGAGGCATGACGTCAAGCACTGCGGTATTGAATTTCGCAAGAACTGATTAGAAATGAATAAGAATGTTATATTTGTGAAACGTTCTGTTAGCGATTTTTCATCGAGGGCTTACTCTTCATATTTTCACGTAAACCTTATTCTTTAACTTTCCAATTAAAACTGCAATTAGTAGGGGTAAAAATAAGTAAAGCGACAATAATGACATAACGTTACTCACGAAAAGAATCTATTTGCGAATTCAACCAAGATAAAAGAGCAATAGCGTGATTTTGATGAGCCACCAAGGCACCGTCCATTACTTTCACATCAAGCGGGCCTGCCTTTTCAGTTCGCCTGTTCACGTCACGGAGAGTGCGGCGCTAAATGAAAGTAAAAATAAATCACTGATACTTTGACAAAGTGCAGCTCTTCTTTAACC